GAATTTGTTGTGTGTATAATCACAATAGAATTGATAAGCATCAACGGGTGTATTGAATTTCATATTTTTAATGTTTTATGTACTTGTAAATTTTTAGAGTGTTCTATATGATAATTCAAAATGGACCGTGTGCAAAGTAGATTTTTGTATTGTGATTTGTAGGGACATATTATTAATGTTTATAGTGTATTGTAGTTAATTTTTCAAGGAAAAAGTCTCTTATGTGATATTTAATTTTGGGTTGTGTGCTAATTTAGTGTAATTACTTTGATTTTTTTCATATAACATGTACTGTATAATGAAGTTTTCCCCTTATAATTTATAGCTATTCATGTGGCAAATACGTCATTTTAGTGTGCTAAGTAGATTTTAAAATTTAACACGCCCCAGCCACAATATGTTGTCATACAACACTATTATTATAGACAACACATCGTATGCATTCATATATTACAAATACATCACATGAACTAACAACATATGCTATGGTCTTATACAACACAAATAATAATTGATTTCACCACACCACATATTGTTATACAATACATTTATAATTATGAACCAACAATATTTGTCTTTATTATACATAACATGTGTTGTATATATATAAAACTGTGTTGTCCGTATATATTGCAGGAGCTGTTGTTGATTTTTTCAATTAAGCAACCTAACCATTCACATGCTATTCATATTCAATAGAAGTTAATCTTTCTTTTTAAAAAAATGTCTTTTTTTGTAACGTTTTAATATTGTGTTGTGTCCTAATTTATTGTAATTGATGTGATTTTTTAGCATGTTGTACGTGTTCTTACATTCGACAGGTGTTCGTGTGCTAAATATGTTCTTTTAGTGTAATTTTTCCTAATATATTATGTGTTATCTATGTTTCGTTACATGTAATTAAACTTACACCATAGTTTTAAGAGAATTTACAGTTGTCTATGTGCTAAATACGTTTTCTTAGTCTGCTAAGTACACTTTGATTGAGTTGTGTGCTAATTTAGTGTAATTAATGTGATTTTATAGGATGTAGTGTGTGTTATATTTATATGTTATGCTAAATGTAATGAAAAAAATTCTCATGGTTCACAGTTGTCCGTGTGCTTAATAAGTACTCTTAGTGTGATTTTTGATAACATATTATGTGTTATATATGTGTTGTTACATATAACTAATCTTGAAAACTAAATTTTTAGATAATAATTCAAAAGGAAGAGAGTTTATAGGTGATAAATTACACTACCTCGTATGTTAACTATCTTACGTTAGTGTGATTATTTTCAATATGATACGTGCTCTATCTATATTATGTTAGATTCAATATAAATTATAAAATATAGTAGATCATGTGCTAAATGATTCTTTTTTTGCGTGATTTTTATTAATAGTATGTGCTATGTGATTATGATCTATCCAAAGTATATGATTTTTTGGAAACACACTGCAAAGAATTTAATTTGTAGAGTTGACTTTTTTTAATACCTGATTTGTGATTTCCTTCATCAGTATTGTCGCAATGATCATTGTTGATGAATATTGATGGTTGCTCTTCAATAATATCATGTTGTTCTTCAATGATGAAATCGAGTTCTTGTCTGGTAACATTTCTTCTCTTTCGATCATGTGTTCTTCCATAATAAAGTATGAACTCGTCTTTCTGTGCTCTTCCATAATATGATTTCGTTCCTTTCTCACTACACTTGTTTCTCTTTCTTCGATTTGTAGTTGCTCTTGATTAATGTGTTGTTCTTCTTCCATGAATCGAAGTCGAATCTCATCGGAAAAGGAACTTGAAATATTAGGGAAGAAATCAGTTTAATTGAATAAATAGATTATGTGTGCGGTTGTATATAAATTCAAAATTACTATTTTACCCCTTTCAAAAATCATCACCGTTAGATTAAATTGTTAATCGGACGGATTTAACCGTCCCCAAAAAGTGGACATGGTATGTGGGTTGGAAGGAGTACTAATAAATATATACATATAGATATATATTTATTTTTGGATGAATGAAATCTCTAAATCAGCCAAAAGTACATATTTAGACAAGTAAAAGCATGATACACTCACGCACGGAGTAAAAAAAAATGAATTAAGGTAATCATCGTGACAACTTGTCATATATGCAAATAATTATTGTTGGGAATTTTGGCCGTTCGAGGCCTAACCCGACAAGTCCCTCGATAAATAAATAAGTTGGCCAACTCCGTAGCCCGACCCGTCGGATTCGACCCAAACCCTTTAATCCAAACCCATATATCAAACCCTAAGTCAATTTGTTAGGTTGTTATGTTGGTTATAACCGTGTGTGATTTTTTAGTTTGGGGAAGTTATTAAAGGTTAGTTTAAAAAGGGGTTTTGGGTGAGTCAGTTTTGAGAAAGTGAGATACACCATAACCGAGTTAAAGAGATTGAGAGTGAGGGAGAGAACCACGAATGGAATTCCGGTGAGCCAAGCGATTCCGGTGAGGTTCGGGACCCTTTTCTTGTGCCGATTCTGGTGGGCGTCGAGGCTTGGAGTGACGAGCCGACCTCCAACCTTGAGGCGTGATGACCTCGGGCCACTTTGCACCATGGACTGAGCCAATATCCGCCGTCCCTTCGCCGAAAAGAGAAGAACAAAGAAGATCGGGAAGAACTGTCCGCCGGAGTCCGTCACCGGACGGAGGAAGAAAACCGTTGAGGTGGAGCAGGCTACTGGAGCTGTTGTCGAGATCTCTCCTGGAGGATGACCGCCGCTGTTCGTCGGGAGAAGACGCTGTCAATCTTGAAGTCGACGGTAGTCGTAGAAAAGTTGTAGAAATCCATAGTCGTCGGCGGCAGTGGCTTCGATTTCATTTAAAGAGCAGAGCGACGAACAGGGAGTGCTTTCATTCTAAATTTCTTTAAATTGATTTACTTCCTGTTTGTTTGTGTTTGTTTTTCCTAATTCCAGATTATGCCTTTTATTAATGTTTGTTTATATTTCAGTTTGATTTCGGTAGTATAAAGATTTGGGTTTATTCGAGTTAATTTGCTTCCGCTATTACTAATTGATTTCGTATATTGTATACAAAGTTTGTTCGATAAATCTAAAGGATCCGGGAATAAATTCACAACAGTGGTATCAGAGCCCGAAAACCGATTCCGAAATTGAAAGAATTATTTGGTTCGAGTTTGGTAAGACTCGTATCGTGGTAAAAGGCTAAACCCTCAACTCTCTAATTTCGGTATATATTAATCTTAGTGAATTTTGGTGAATCTTTGTGAAATTGTTGTTAGATAATATGTTGAATTTCTTTGTGTTGGTTGACTATGTATTTCTTGGTGTTTGATTGGCTATATGTTTCTTGGTGATTACATTGGTGTATAATCTTGGAATTGATTGTTTTTCCTTGGTGATATTTCTTGGGAATTTTTTTTTTTTGCTCCTTGATTATATCCTTGTTGTGTTTTTTGGGTTATGTTTATAGCCTAGTGAAATTTTTGTGTTAGCCAAATTATTGTAGTGATGCATGTTTCATCTTCTTTGTGTGTTAGATATGCATGTTTTATTTTTTCTTTGTGATATAGAATATTGCATGTTAGGTGTTAATCGGAAAATGCCTAAAAAGAATGAATAATTGAAGGATAATCAAGAATACTTTGTTTTGTTGCATTATGTGATTGCTTGATGAAAATGCATGATTCTTGATTTGTATGCTATGTGATTAGTTGTTTGTTATATCAAGTTTTGATTGATTGCTTTGTGATTGTGCTGCCGGGGTTTTCTAAATGGTAGTGTTCGATCGATCTAGGTGCTTAGTGTTTTGGTTTCTGTCTAGTCGCTTAGTGTTCTTCTAGGGTTAGCTTTGTTCCTAGTTGCTCCGTGTTCCTCTAGGTTTCGTCCTAGTTGCTTAGTATTCTTCTAGGTTTTCTCCTAGGTTGTTGAGTGCTCTTCTAGGTAGGATGTCTGAGTGGTTGTGTCTCCGGAGAGCTGAGTGATAGTGGTCGATCGATCCAGGTTCTTAGGTTGTGCTTAGCCCATAGAGGTGTGTGCTAGAGCCGTAGTGCCTAAGATTTTCTTTGTGTCTAGAGCTTAGTGTGTTCTCTAGTAGATTACTAGATGTCAAATAAGGTGGAGCTGCTATTATGTGTTTCTATGTTTTGTGTATTTGGCATGTGATTGTTTTCCTTTGTGTATATGCATGTATGTTGTTTGATTGTGTAATATTTTTTTTCTATGTGCTAGGTTGCTAGTGATTAATCTAGATGCATTTTAGGATCTGTGTACTGTGTGTGATATATTTTGTCTACATTAACGTTTGTTTGTAGATGCAGCGAGGGACAAAAGGCGATGATGAAATCCATTGGTGCTAGGTAAGTCTATATCTAGTAAATTCGTATTTGGGATTTGGTTAAATCACGACCAATAGGTGGAGATTGTTGGGAATTTTGGCCGTTCGAGGCCTAACCCGACAAGTCCCTCGATAAATAAATAAGTTGGTCTACTCCAAAGCCCGACCCACCAGATTCGACCCAAACCCTTTAATCCAAACCCATATATCAAACCTTAAGTCAATTTGTTATGTTGTTATATCGGTTATAACCCTTTAATCCTGGAGCTGCTGTCGAGATCTCTCCTGGAGGATGACCGCCGTTGTTCGTCGGGAGAAGACGCTGTCAATCTTGAAGTCGACGGTAGTCGTAGAAAAGTTGTAGAAATCCATAATCATCGTCGGCGGTGGCTTCGATTTAATTTAAAGAGCAGAGCAACGAACAGGGAGCGCTTTCATTCTAAATTTCTTTAAATTGATTTACTTCCTATTTGTTTGTGTTTGTTTTTCCTAATTCCAAATTATGCTTTTTATTAATATTTGTTTATATTTCAATTTGATTTTAGTAGTACAAAGATTTGGGTTTATTTGAGTTAATTCTCTTCTACTATTACTAATTGATTTTGTATTTTGTATATAAAATTTGTTGGATAAATCCAAAAGTCCGCGAAGAAATTCACAAACAATTATAAATGTGAGAGAGAGAAAGAGAGAGCGGCCTTAATATAAAAGCAACGTTGAAGGGAATCCAATCCAATCCACAGAGTCATTATTCATTCATTATTTTATTCCTTCCTTCCTTCCCAACAGGATTGGAGAAGTTTGAAAGAATCAAGAGACAGACAGAGAGACTGACCTTTCCTTGGTTGTTCCTATTCATTTTCAGTTATTATTATTATTGATGAGTGGCAGTAGTAGAATGGTGGATGGAATGCCAGATCCTGTTGAAGAACCAGATGGAGTCAGCTTCGACCGCGAAGCCGTCCTGGTTCCGGTGCCAGCTGTAGTAGGCGTGAGTCCTGTTCTTTATAGCCAATGTCGCATGCCCAAAGCTCGCCTCCCGGAACGCCGAGTATGTCGGCTGTGGCTCTGTCATGCTGACATTACAACAATCATTCATTCATTCATTCTTAATAATATCTTCACTAATATCAAATACATCCATCCATCCGTCCCTCATATTTATATATTACTAATAATATCTTACTTGTTAGCAAGGCCTTCGAGATTCCCTCCATCCCCGATGGTTATGTAAACAGGGGCCGACTCGTCTCTAACTGGACTACATATCCCATTCACAACGTTGTACGCAATGTTAGACACGCGTTCCTGAACATAGATAAATACCCTATCATTTCATACACCCATAAGAACAAGGATAGACTGATGCAATGTAAACGTACCGATCGTTCATAGGCGTGTACGTGGCCCGCAAACACAAGGTCAACTTTGTATTTGACGAACCACGGCTCGTACATCACTCTCATGCTTTCTCCTTCCATGTAGTGGTAGTTGTAGCTGTTGTACCATGGAGAATGCATCAGAACAATCAGCCATGGCGTCTCCGACCTATTCACTTTCGGCAACTCCTCTTCGAGCCACTTGTATTGAGGAGTGTATTTACCTTTCCAAAACAAGGATAGGATAAAAACACGAATAACAGCATGCCATTTCAACCAATTTTTTTGTTTATATAATACTAACCGTATGCTGAATAAGAAGCCAGAACAATGATATGTGCAGAAGCTCTCTTGATTGAGTACCAAAATGGTTCGGTGCTGTTCGATGCTTTGTAAGGGACGTGATACCGGTGCATATAAGGCTTGAATGGTTTCATTTCGCCCTGCAAACATTTAACAGCCATAATAAGCATAGAATGTGTTAAAAATGCACGATTCTCCCAAAATATTCCAAATGAAAAGGTTAGGGTGCTCTGATTATTATAAGTAAAACAACACCATACTGATTATGATTATGACCGACACATGTATGTGCTGAGTTACTTGAAACCATGTGCTAATCTTTCATATTATATCAACACAAACCTACCTTATCTTCTACTTATCTATAGTTGATGTGCTGTCCACGGCAGCCTACCAAAAATATATAATACATAGATATAATAACAAAAACATCCGAGGGTCAATCAAAACACACAAAACATTATTCTCTATAACAATTTCATAATTTCCCATATTTCATCAAAAAATGCCTAAAACTATAATAACTAAACAAAGACACTCCTAGTTGAATGCAAGTGGCCAATGGCAAAACTTCCCGGAAATGAGAATTATGAAATAAAATTATCAAAGATCTGCTCATTCTCCAATCCAACAGCTAGCTAAAACATAAATCTTTTTCAGAAAATGGAATTTTGAGAAGCTCAAGCAGTGTGATTAAATGAAAAACCCAGCCTGATTTTACGATCCCTCTAATCAAAGAAACTACATAGTTGCAGAGGACGAAGAAAACTTACAATTTCAGGAATGAAATCAATCTCATGATTTCCAGCAGTCCAAATCCAGGGTTGGAAAGCTACACTCCTCTCCACAAACCTCCCCCATGAATCCCACCTCCTATTGTCATGGAAAGGATAATTATCGGCATAAGAAAGATCACCAACAAACAACACAGTCTGCCCTTTCTTCGGATTTTTCTCATAATGTGTAAGTGTCTTGTTTGAATCATAACTCTGCCCCAAATCCCCTGTCAAAAAGCTAAAAAAAGATTCAATACAATCATTTGGGAATCACCAAGTTTAGGCTATGATAATTAAAGCTCTACAAGAACATATTATAGCAATTTTTGTATCCTGCCTATCCGACAAGCAGTAATAGATAAATAAATGAGAGATGAAGACAAGTAGATATATATATATGTGTGTGTGTGTGTGTGTGTGTTGTGTGTGAGCGTGTATGTATGTACCTATAAGACCAAAAGTATATGGAGCATCAGGTCCAACTGGTGGAGGTGTAGTGAACCAGAAAGTTCTTGTTGTGTGTCCAATACCGATCTTGTAATAGTATTTGGTATTATACTGCCCAAAAAATTAGAGTAAAATTCAATTTTAGGTTCATCACTTTTTGATGCACAAAATCACTTCTTCTCTTATTCTCTATATCCCGACAAATCAATAACAAATTATACTGGTGTGAATTATATGTTGGATTCATAACTTTTTTTATGCACATAATCACTTTTTCTGTAATTCCCTTTATCAAGACAAATTAATTTAAAAATATATATATATATATATATATATACTGAAGAATAAGTGTAAATTCAATGTTGGATTCATCACTTTTTTATGCACATAATCACTTCTTTCTCTACTTCTCTTTATCAGGACAACTCTACACTGAAGAATTCGTAATTCAATGTTGGATTCACCACTTTTGAATGCACATAATCAATTTTTTCTCTCATTCTCTCTATCAGAACAAATCAATAACAAATTATACAGAAGAATCAGCATAAATTAATTGATGGATTCACAACTTTTCGATCACTTGTTCTCTTATTTAGGTAAAATAAATAACAAATTATCCCGAAGAAAGAAACACATAAAGAAGATACAGAAGTGCAGAGAATGTACCTCCAAATTCCGAACAGTGCAATGATGGATGTATCCAGAAGTGTAGTTGTAAAATGTGTACTTAATGACCTTCCCCTTCGCCTTCTTCTTCTTCTCATCGCTGTTCTCAGCCCAATACAACACTATGCTCGAACCTTGTTCTTCTACAGTTACCCACGATACAATCACTGCTTTTCCTTCGTGATCTCCTTGCGTAATATGCACCTGAACAAAAATTAATAATAATAATAATAATAATAATAATAATAATAATAAAAGGTTCACTCCCATCCGAGAAAAATAAAAATAAAATATCCATCCAAAAAGTAGCTGCAACTCTCAAAGTAAGAACATCATCTCAATCTCGTAAATTTTATCTCCACAAAATCAACGAAAAACTTCCAAACAGCACAATGAGTCAGAAATCGAAGCAGACAGAATAAAAACCAAATTGAACAACCAAGGACTTCAAAAAATAAATACCTGCTGCGGAGCATTGTAGCCTGGAGGAACCTTGAAGACGTCACTGTCGAGAGGCATATCCACCGTCTTCTCATCTCTCCTCACGAAACTGCTCGTGATTCCTCCGCTGGACAAAACTGCCGCATTCAAAACCAAAACCGCCGCCAAGATCGTCGCCATTTCCGTACACCAATCCGATCGCCTCCGCGAACAGACGCACTTGACTGACGCGCCTCCAATCGTGAATCAATTTATTTATATACACGAGAACACGGCACGGCGCGGAATCGATGGGGAATATCCGAAAATTTAAACCAAGTGAAGAAATGGATAGCGACGGAAAAGTCTTTCTTTGGAGAAAATCGTTTCGGTTATGGGAATGTGAACTCTCTCTAAAGTTGACTTTTAGGGTGTGGTTGTTCGAGGGATTGAAATTTTTTTTACTGTTAATTCAATTTTTTTTTCAAAAATATCAAATTAAATATTTATTTTTTATTTTTTATATTATATTAAAAATTAATTTTATATTTAAAACATCACATCAACACCTATTTATATCACATCATACAACTATTCAAATTCAAAATTTTTACTATTGAAATACCAATTCAAAATTCAAACCTCGAAACAAACAAACATGTATTTCCTTCTCTTTCGTATCAAGGTTCCTAGTATTAATTAATTATAAATAAATGGTATTCCATATTTTTATAACTAGTCTATTAGTCATGCATAATTCAATTTTATATTTTAAATAATACTTCCTCTGTTCATGTAATAGGAGTGTATTAGATCATCAGCAATGGAAATATCCAAATCTTCACTATCTTTTCTTCTCCACGTTACATTTTTGGCGGAAATACTCTTTTATTTTATATTCACAACAAAAATATTCATCCTAATTTTTTAATAAATTTTTATTTTCATATTATATATATATTATTTTTTAATTATAATTTTAATTTATAGTATTAATTATTTATTTAATTATATACTATAATTATATTATATTATTATTTATCAATATTTTGATTTATTAAAAAATTATGGAAAAAAAATTATATTATTAAATAAATTAAATAATTGAAAATAAATTTGATGATATATAATAATAGTGATGTGATCTAACAATACAGTGGTTAAATCTACATGGTACAATAATTAATAAAGAAAGCTCAGCAAGACAAAACTTGAAATGATTGATCCGATAAAAATAAATATTAATTATTTATGTATAATTATGTATGTATAATTAATTATAAACTAAGGGTGTGTTTGTTTGGGGGGATTTTGAGTTGGGATTTGAATAGTAAAAATTTTGAATTTAAATAGTTGTATGATGTGATATAAATAGGTGTTGATGCGATGTTTTGAATGTAAAATTGATTTTTAGTATAATATAAAAAATAAAAAATAGGTGTTTGATTTGATGTTTTTGGGGAGAAAAAATTGGATGAATAATATAAATCCAATCCAACCCCCAAACAAACACACCCTAAGTATATTTATTGTTTAATATAATTTTATATTATTTAATTGCTTTAAAATTTATAATTATATTTTATTTAAGAAATTAAATTCAATTTACTAATATTGATTTGTTCAATAGAATTATATAATATTTGTATTTATATATATTAAATTTCAAATTGATAAAATATATTCAATATTGATATCATTTTGTAAAATATAAAATATTATGAATTATAAAAATACTACAAAATTTAAATATAACAATAAACTCAATATAAATTAAAAAACAAAATATATATAATATATAATATATATACATATATATATATACACATTCTAATGACATGTGTCCCAATTAAATTGGGACACATGGCAATAAAATTGCATCTTCCGAGCATTTCTGCGCTGTAATTTTTTTTTAAAAAAAAAACGATGATGTGGCGCATGATGGCCTTACTGTAGACACAAAAATTTAGGTAAAGTATAATTAGTAAGTAATTAAGAAGTGTATTAGTAAAAATAATTATAGATTTTAAGATTAAGATAAGTAAATAGTTAATTAAAATTAAGAAAATTATAAAATTTAAAATGCGATTAAAGTGCATAATTATATTTCCAAAAATAAAAAGGACAAGTTACGTGCGATGGATGAAAATAGAAAATAAGGACAAATTATATGGGACGCAGAGAGTAAATTTTATTTTGATAATAAAATTTTGTATGAAGATAATAAAAATTAATTTATATAAAAAATAAATTATAAATAAAAAATATGGTAATTAAACCAAACAAAGAATATTAAATAAGCGAATCAAAATTTCTTAAATATATACTCCAATTTAAACTTAAATATAATCGAGATAAAAAATAATTATTTATAATCACTCTTAAATTAAAAGTCAAAATAAATTTTAAAAAAAATTTGTCGTCATTTATATATGGTTGTTAGCGTTCAGTTGAAAATATTGTTCAAATAACATAATAAATAATATATATATATAGTAACTAAAAGAAAAGCAAACAAATAATATTAAATAAATTATAAATCAAATAAAACTTATATATTATTTTAAATTCAAATCTAACTTAGATTAAAACTATTTATTAACAAATCATATTAAATAAAAACAAAAGATTCAAAATTTGAATATAATTTTAAATTTCAACAAAAGAAAACGTATTAAAATAGTAATATTCTAAACCAAATTAATTAGAAAAAATTCATATAGAATAATAAATAAGAATTGATTAGTAAAAAATAAAAATAACAAAAAATAAATAAAAGAATGCATAGAAAATAAAAATGAAAGTACTAAAACTAAAATATAGTCATTTTTATAAATTACTAAAATTTATCTTAATTTTTTGTATGAATTTCTCTAATATTCTCGAAATTTAAATATAATCTACAAAATTAGGGAAAAAAATATTTTAATATAATATTCAAAACCAAATCAATTAAATAATACATATTAAATAATAATGAATAAAAAATTGATTAATAACAAATAAAAATAACACAATGTATAATTAAAAAATACATAGATAATAAGAATAAAAGTAATAACTAAACATATTTATATATATATATACATATATATTAAAATTTACCATAATTTTGTTTATGATTTCTATAAATATTCTTTCAAATAAAAAACTTACAAATCTAAACATAATCTAAAATATTAAAAAATATATTATAATATAATACTTGAAATCAAATCAATTAGAAAAAACAATTACTCAATAAGAATGAAATATATTTTATTAGTAAAAAATAAGAATAATCCAATAAATAATTTTAAAAAACACATATACAATAACAATGAAGTATTAGAACATAATAAGAATAACACAATAAATAATTTTAAAAAATACATATACAATAACAATAAAGTATTAAAACATTATACTCGAAACTAAATAGATTTGTAAATAAATATAATAAGAATAAAAAAGAATCAATTTGTAGAAAATTAAAATCAATTTAATAATATTATTACATATAATCAAATAAAATAAATAATCTTTCTACTTCTCTTCTTTCTCTTCTATTTTTTTTTTCTCAATTCTTTTTTTCTTTCTTTTTTTTTTTAAACTTCTTTTGCATCATAGTATGGATAAGAAAATTAATTAGTAAAAATTTTCATATAATAAAATTTAAAATTTATAAATCGAAGAAAACAAATTTACTATAAAATTTTCACTATATAAGGAAAGATAATAAATTATATGCATAAATAATAGTATATAAAAAAAATGATATTTTTTCATATGGAAAATATTTCACTCTCTTTAAACGATAACAAATTATATGCTAAATAAAATACGAAAAAATAAATAAATTTTCATGTGAAAACCCTTCAATGTAAAAAAAATAAAAAATAAGAATTTTTCAGAATACATATAAACATGTTTAATCATCGTTAAATCAACTAACAAAAATTTCATTTTTAAGAAAAATAAAGATCACAAAAACAAACCTAAAAACTTTGTCACATTCTGTAAATTTCGAGTCGAACTATATATATCCAATCAATAATCCCACCATTTGAAAACGCAACGAATTACGAACACTTCTTGAAAATTTATGATTTTTCTGTTAATATAAAATTAATATATTTTAATTATAATCTGATAAATATATTATAGTTAAAATAATAATAGAGAAAAATAAATAAAATAAAAGCTCACCAGATATTTCAGCTACATGTGGTAGGGGACTTCTTCTTTGGAAGAAAGACGCCGCGCTATTGAAAAAAAATATATTATGATTGAAATAATAAAAGACACAAATAAAATAAAATAAAAACTAAATAAAAAGAAAGAAAAAAGATTGAGGAATGAGGGAGTGCGGTTGTGGATTTTGTGGGGGAAGAAAGTGGAGGGTGGAGGGAATAAAAAGTGAGGGAGGACGGTGATTATGATTCTGTTACAACAACAACAACAACAATAATAATAATAATAATAATAATAATAATAAATTAATAAAATTACTTACCTTCATTTGGTGGTGATGAATTTGGCAAAAGAATTTTTATGAACGAATTTTTATTCCCTAATCAATAAAAATAAAATTATTTAAAATATATATAATAAAATATATATAATAAAATGTTTGAAACATACGTACAGTTTTTACACTCCGCATCAATATCATTAATTATAAAATCCAACAAGTTCTGATTTGGCCTACCCTTTAAACAAAGTAGTTTTCTCCGTCTTAATCGAGCAATATTTTGTTCCGCTTGCACAGTATTCATCTATACACAAAATAAATAAATAAATAAGAAAAACATATTTATCTAGTTTTAAAAGTACATGATTCAAAAATAAAAAATAATAAAAATATAATTTCTACGCTTTTCCATAAATTTGACATAATTATTTTGTATTCGCACATCTTCTTACTATATTAACCTTTTGTACTCTTACAGATTAATGATGTTGAATCTCCCATCGAATTTTCCTTTTTAAGTTAGCGTAATACTTTTAGTTGAAGACAATGCAATGAGACGCGAAATTGAAATTTATACTGAATATTAATAAACTATATGTATATGTAATTATATATATAATGATTGAATCTTAATAACAAAAGTATACCGAAAAGTGGTTAAGATAATTATATACATAGATATAGATATGCACATCATATATATATATATATTTATAGAATTAAATAATTATATAGAATGTGATTAGTAAAATGATTTGATTAGTTATGATATAAAAAGATTTATGAGATATTATTTGATGAGTTTGTTATTATTCCTTAGAACATATATGAAATCTTTAATTATATCCATATGTTTAATTATTTTGTTAATTTTAAAAAAATAATTTACAAATAATTAAAAAGAAAAAGTAAAA